TGTGTGTGAGAGAGAGAGTGTGTGTGTGTGTGTGAGAGAGAAAACCCTTCACGTCACGCCGGCAGGCAGGCAGGCAGATAAACAGGATGTGATGCGTCACATGGACACTGCTTCCTCTTTCCCCCCCACTTCCTCTTCTCTGTCAGCTCACAGGACGTTGGGTAAGAGCGAGGCCTGCGCTGCTTCCTGTCTGAGATCACAGACTCACACGGTCATTTCCTGTTTGGTGACGCCAGCAGCGGTCACTTCCTCTGAAGCCCAGCAGCACTTCTGATTACAGCAGCTTCCTGTTCATTAACACCAGAATTAATGAATTCATAAAATGACAAAGAAACTTTTAAACACAACACGCTGATTAGAATTGAAGCTTGTTTCCACCACGTATCTTTTGCAACTGCAAATGTTATTGTCTTGTATCTTTTTGAAAAGCATCAATAAAGAGTTAAACTAAAAAAAAACATTCATGCACTTTCATCAAGTACTTGCTTTCGGAATCTGAGAGAAATGTTAGAAGTATTTCACAGGTCATGTTTTTCATTAATATTTTGAATTGATTTTATTTTTAAATTTTCCATTTTATTTAAATTCTAGTTAAAATTTTTCGTTTTTGGTAATTTACGTTTTTGATACAAGTCTATATATTTTTTCATCATTTAAATTTCATTTTTTGTTATTTTAATACTATATCAAATGTATACATGCGTAGCGGCAGCTGAGTGACGATCAACCAATCACAGGCCTGCAGACCGATGACGACGGAGGTCAAAGGCTCATGGATGCAAACATCAGACGGGATGTGAGTGAAGAATAAATATCTGCTCATTAGTGGAGGGTCAGAGGAGAGCAGAGCAATAAACATCAGCGTTTATTAGAAATCAGTATGGATCCGTTCCCCGAGGAGCACTCGTCCTCAGCCTTCAGTACTGTAATCAATGAGTGTGTGTCTGTACTCAATCACATTCATGTTCACACACAGAGCTCGAATCAGATCAACATTTCACACCAAGCATCAGAATGAGCTTCAATCCTCATTCACTGTGACTGAGAATTCCTCAGAATATCTGCTTTCGTGTTGCACTGCAGAAAATGCTTCCTCAGCAGGGTCAGGGAACGGTCCTTTAATCCTCAAGCGTCCTTCGGGACACATTTGGGTACATTTTTTATAGTTTTCTTAATCTGAGCAGTTCAAGACTTGGCTACTTTTCCTAAGTTTGCCACATGAACACACAAAGAAATAGAGGACTTGATTCAACAAAGTTAAGTGGTTGAAAAAAAAAAAAAAACTCCTAAATTTCTCCCATAGGAAATGAATGGGAAATACTACAATTCAAAGCATTTTTTGTTTATTTGTCCAATAAATCCAACACAATGCAGCTCAAACACACATAAATGAAGGGGTGAGCCTATCTTCTCAATGTGTCAAACAATCTCACACACACACACACACACACACAAAAGCCATTGAAAACTACAGCCATATAGTGGCTACTGATATTTTTGATATTTTTATACCATCATATGCCACCAGATGTCACTAAAGCCACTGGATTTTTAGGGTTTGGCTGTCTGAACTTACTGGAACGATTTTTTAAAAACTGAAGTATAAGAAATATTAAACAGAGCATAAAAATAAGCATATTTCACAATTAAAATACGGTACTTTGAGGTATATAAAAAAAAACAACAACACTAAAAATATGAAAAAATTACATAAATTGATTGATTTGATTTGATCGAAGACAGTGATGTGTGTCCCAAATGTGTTCACGAAGGACCAATTAAGGGCCGCTATACGAAGGATGCTTGTGGGTTAAAAGTAATGCATTACAATATTGCGTTACTTCCTAAAAAAGTAACTAATTATGTATAATTATGTTACTTTTTATGGAAAGCAATGCATTACGTTACTTATTAAATCTGGGCAGGGCTTGCTTGTTTGTTTTTAATATAAAAAGTTCTTCTTTTAGAAACGTAAGTAAAAACCCTTTCACAATAAAAGTGAAGTGAATGCGCCTCAGGCTGAAGGAAATGTAAATTCTCGTCTGTACAGT